GTCTCTTGTTTGCCAACCCACAAATGTTGTGGTACTGCTTGCTTTGATTAGGTTCGATGTTGAACTTGCCAACTTGTCCATGTACACATTTGCCAAAAGAGGTGAGAATGGAAATCTCATCGGTAGTCCAAATATTTGCTCCTAGATACAGCCGTTAAATGTGAAATATGGGGTCCTTACGGTCAGGTTGATCAGTCGTGTTAACGATAGTTTCCGTATCCGTTCTGCCTGCAGGATGTCCTCTTCTCGCTCCAATATCTCCAGCAGGGTGCTTACTGCCTTCTCACCTGAGATGTTTGTGTACATGTATTGTACATCGATACTCACCAACAGTTCCGATCACATTAACCCAATGTTCTGGATTCTTCGAAATCTCAAGTCAATATTAAGAAAGAATATAGGTAGGTTTCTTACTTTGGATGATTTTCAAAAAAACTCCAGAGCATGACCGACGAGAAGTCGCAGAGGGTCTGGGATATGATAAATAAGCGGCATGACAAGAAATTGCTTAGCTATGGGATAAAAGGACAGCTCAAGACCAAGCCAACCCGGGCAAATTTTGTTGGTTCTCTATTGAAGGCATCAACTGCTACAGACGACGATAGGACAAAAGTAGTAAACCTATCTTCAATCCCTCTTGATTCTGACACTACAGATCTCTTAGCGAGGGGGTTACATTTTTCACAAGATAATGAAGGAAACATTCTTAGTGATATTCTGGTGGAAGTTGTTAACATAGCGGATAAATATCCAGAAGATACAAGGTGGGAAATGGAACTGGAAATAATCCAACAAATACTGACACAACAAGAACCGATACACAGGAGCATATTTGCTGGTATTTGGGAAAACAAACATTACAGAAGAACGATCAAATATTTCTTCAGGCGGATAAGGGAGGAGCGACGGTTGTAATGGATAGTAAACAGTACACGGAGAAAATAGAAAGTATCCTAGGCGACCGGAACACGTATCAAATACTAAGAAATTTGATAGATGGATGATGAAAGCTTAAATAAAAAATGACGCAAGACCACCGACAGCCTACGGACTACCGTAGATACACAAGCAAGGAAATCCGCTAAGACGGATAGTCAACAACAAGCATGGAGTAATTCATAAACTAGCGTAATTGATTTGCTTGAAGCACAGGAAAGTAAATGAGAGACTCTCGAATACCGTTAAGAATTTATGTGGATTTTCTCAAAGGATTCAGAAGATTTGGTTATTGGGGTCGGAACTTTTGGTGAGTTTCGATGTACAATACATGTACAAAAACATCTCAGGTGAGAAGGCGGTAAGCACCCTGCTGGAGATATTGGAGCGAGAAGAGGACATCCTGAAGGCAGAACGGATACGGAAAGAATCGTTAACACGACTGATCAACCTGACAGTAAGAACTCCATATTTCACATTTAACGGCTGTATCTAAGAGAAAATATTTGGACTACCGATGGGATTTCCATTCTCACCTCTTTTGGCAAATGTGTAA